TTGGCCTCCTCCTATTTCCTATGTTGTAGTCCTCCTGAGGCTGTAGATGTCCTCAAATCCAAAGGACACTTTCCAGTTACTTTCTCCCAAGGCCATTTCTGTGACATAAACAGTCTTCATAGCTCCTTCCTTCTTAAAATCCTCTCTGTCCTTTGGATGGGCTCTCCCTGGTCCACCTCTCTGATCATTTTTTCCCATCTCCCTCACTGAACTATTTCCCTCTATTTCCCAGGACCAATCCTCAATTCACTTCCAACTTGGGTGCTATAAATACCGGTCACATGGTAGTGGCAGCTTAGACCAGGGAGCCAGATTGTTGGGTTCAAATTCTGCCTCCACCTTGGGTGAGTTACTAAAGCTCTATTTGCATTAATTTCTTCATCTATAAAACAAAGACTAAAAATTTTTTTTAAAAAAACTCACTGACAACATTGATGTTGAAAGGATGAAGTGAGTTAATATGTAATGTACTGAGAACAATATCCATAATGTAGTGAAGATGCAATCAATTATTACTGATATATTGGTTTTCTTCTGATGTCTATAAATGAAGAGATAATAGTCTTCAAGAAATTCTCCATGAAAGTTGTTTCCTCTGACTTTTGAAAGACAATTGGATCACAATTGTAGTTACTTTCTCACTTTCTCCCTAGGCATTTCTATGCTCTGGATGGCAGCTATTGTATGCTACAGTTAAATGCAATTTAAGGATCTGTTTTGATGGGGACAGAATTGATATCCATCTGTGAAGACTTTAAAGAGAATTCATTCCTGAAGAGAAGGCTCTGGCTGCATTTGACAGTCATCAGAAATGAGATAGGGGATGACTTCAAGTTTTACTTTCTTCATAAAGTAACTTCGGCTTCATTTTAATTCACCAATAAATGATCAATAAAGGCTGCACAATAATACATCACAAGATCATAACTTCAATCATATAGAAGTAAATGCCTATATTGTCTAAAAGGAAAGAACTCAGTAAAACACCACAGTGTACTTAACTTCAAAAAATGCAAACTTTTTATTATAGCTTCCAAAACATATTACTTAGAAGATCGAAAACATATAAATTTAATGAGGTTACTAGAAGTATAGGAGTATAAAACAATTAAAGGCTAATGCAATTATAGGCCTTGATTTTTTTAACAAATGTTCTGACATCCTCATATGTATATAATTAATTAATTAGAAAGCAGATCTGATTATTTTTTAATTCACCTGTAGTTCATAATTCATGTAAGTAGCCTATTTGAATAGGGCTTTAAAACATTAAGACTCTAGTTAAAGAAAAGAGAAGCTAGCTCACATACATGTTTTGACCATCTGGAAATTATGTGTTTTTTTAAAAATATATTTATTTTAGTTGTAGATGGGCATAATACTTTTATTTTTATTTAGTGCTGAGGATTAAACCCAGTGTCTCACACATGCTAGGCAAGCAGTCTACCACTGAGCTACAACCCCAGCCCCTATATGATCTTTTTAAATATATTTTTATTTGTAGATGGACACAATATCTTTATTTTATTTATTTATTTTTATGTGGTGCTGAGGGTTGAACCCAGTGCCTTATGTGTGCAAGGTAAATGCTCTACCACTGAACCACAACCCCACCACCACCGCTATGTGATCTTTTGAGGGACACTTTCTTTTGAGCCTAAACTTTCCAATATAGTCAGAAACAAGGGTGAGCAGTTGGGAGGGAAAGGGCATAGAAGCCCTCTTCTCCACAAAGAGGCCAGAGCATGGGGGCAAAGCTGAATAGCTATTCTCAAAGCCTGCTTGATCCTAGATGTGTGTGCACTCTTAAACCCACATATCCAATGCATCAAGACAGAGGATGGAAAATATTTTAGATGAAATATTGCCCAGTTAATGTGTCTGCAATGTGGGAGAAATCGAGTTATACTTTTTAAAAATTTTTAAAGTTCAAGCTACACTTTGGATCTAAACAAATAATTTTGTATGGGATGGTCCATAGAGTTATCAAAGAAATAAATGTGAAAGGTAATGATCATCCTTTCATGCAAATGGAAGCATATACAGAAACCCAGAAATGACCCTGGGCATTTTATTTGTCTTAATCTCTTTACTAACTTTACAATGCTAAAGAACATTTTTAGAACTCTGAGGGAGGGTGATGAGATTAGCAAAATTTAAGGCAATTGACCTTGGCATTTCTGCCTGGGAAACACTAGTCTCCCAGCCTGACTGAAATCTGAGTGAGGACAACCTCATCCACACCTTACAGAATTCTACTTTCCATAACTCTGCCTCAGCATCTAGCTTCCCCACTGAGGGCAACTGGCCAATCACAGGGGTAACAGCTGTCAAGGCCATGACCTCTAACTTGAGAAAAAGTAAGAGCAATGGCAGTAGAAATGAAACAAAAGGGACATTTTTAGGAGGAAAGAAAAGAAATTAAGAAGTTAAATGGAAAAGATTAGATGGCTGGCTAGATAAAGGAAATGAGATGAGAAAGAGCCAGTGATAGTTGACTTTGTTGTACTCAGATGACATCTTGAGTTGAGAGAGAATTTATTTAAAGAAAGATGGACTGGAGATAGGGGGCACAGAAATCAAATCATTTGGGGCCCTAATGCACTTATAAAATATCCACTTTTAGCAACAGGAGATAAATATGAGAAAAAAGGTGGAGGCGTAAATCATGGGGAAAAAAATGGACTGTCTGAGTATGGTTCCTACCCCTAAAGATTTTAGAATATTATTATGGTGAGGATATTAGAGATAGATCTGCAAAAACAAGTGTAGAGAGAAGTGAGGCAGGAGCAAGCCCTGGTGTATCACCAACTCAGAAGAGAAGCAGAGAGGAGGGGCCAGAAAAGCAGACTGGGAAGGGAAGCAGCCAGCCAAAATGGTAGGGAGAAAGACAGGATAGAATGGTGTCACCCCGAGACAAAAGAGCTTTAAGAAGGGAAAACTGTCCTGGGTCAAATGCTGCTGAGAAGTCAGGTAAGAGGAGGATGGTGGAGGTCCCTGACAGTGGAGGTAAGAACACTGTCAGAGGAGCAGTGGGGACAGAGGCTCAGGTGGAGAGGATTGCCAAGAGCCTGTGAGGTGAATTAGAATCCGACAGACAGATGGCTTACCAAAGACTTCAACTAAGAAGGGTCATGAAGGAATGGGGGAGCTTGCCTGAGCAGGCTGTGAGGGCCTGTGTTCATTTCCTTTTTCTTTTCTTTTTTTTTTTTTAAGATGAGGGTTATTGATTTACGCTCTTATGTTAATGAGGAGGAGGAGGTTACAAGGTAATGTTTTTGTTATTGTTCCAAGTACAGGAATTAAATAAGTAAAGAAATGAGGGTATTAAAGTTATTTTTATATTTTATATTCTATAAGCCCTCTTGTTTTTAGAAAAACTCTGAAAATTAAAAAAAACATGGAAATAGATTAAATATTATAGATTAAGACACCTTTAAAATACACATAAAGACATATAGAGACTATTAAAACTCTTCTATGTAAATAACTGTCCAGTTAATTTATTCTTGAGTCAAAGAGGAAATAAAAGTTGCAGATGCAAATTTTTAGGAAAACATTAATTAATAAAAGCATTATAGGATATATTTAACCACTTCTGAGCTATAAACTTAAAATAGTTAAGAAAGTAAACTTTATGTGGTGTGTACTTTACTCAAGTTAAAAATAATTGTAGACCAAAATATGTGAGATACTGCCAAAACAATACTCAGGGGAAAAAAAAAGACATAATTTAAATAAATTTTCACAATATAAATAAAGGGTGACAATAAGTTTACTTACTCTTTTGTTCTGTTTGTCTTCAGTTTGTTAGATAAAAGAGTAATTATAGATAAAAAATAAACAATCAGAAAGGCAAGAGTTTGAATCATGTAAATGCATTATAATTCAAATAAATAAGTTTTAAGAAAACATCATCTAATATCCTAATCCCTTCATTTTAAGCATTAGGAAATGAGGCCAAAAGAGATTAAGGGGTCACACAAAACCAGAACTACAATCCAAGCCTCCTTCCTCCCAATCATATGCTCACTGATAAAATGTAAGGTATAAGCTGAGTTAGCAGCTCCATCCATCAAGAGGGTCTTGAAGGACATCCAAGTGGAGGAGGAAATAGAGGAGAACAGAAGGTTCCAGGCTGAAAGCTGGTGACGGTGAACATAACAAAGGAAGTCTGACACTCAGGAAAAAAAAAAAAATGTTTCTGGACAAGCATCGAATATTTGATGAAACTAAGGAGAATAAATCCATATAGGTGTGAACATATAATGGATAATTATAAACATTGTTATGAAAGAGAACACTATGTTTTTAAAGAAAAGCTAATTATTTATTAATTTGAGATGTAAAGATTGCAATGTCAAACTATATATAGCAAAGAAAGTATTTATTGTCCAAAAGAAAATGTTCAGGAAAACTCACATTACCTGAGAAAACTGCCTGTGGTGAAAGTAGATATTTCCGGCATTAAAGTAAGCCAGTGAGTACTTGGGGTCTAAAGCAATTGCTGCTTGGTAGTCTTTTACTGCATTCTGTTTTTGGCCCATAAACTCATGAATCACACCACGATTTGTTATGAACTCTGCTGTGGTATTGATCTGCAACATGGTAGTGAGAGTCTTTAGCATCTGGGAATAGTATTTATTTCTTATTTCATGTCGCAGAAATGAACATTATGAAATCTACTTGTGGGAAACAAGTAATTTTATAGTGTAGGTAAAACCCCATTAGAGCAAATATTTTGAGAAAGGACTTGGTATGAAATTGGTTTGGTGTCAACACTTTGTTGATTTGGTTGCAATAAAGCAAATAATCTTAGTGCTTTACTAAGTTTCTTGCCAAGGAATAGCTGCAGAAGGAAAACTTATCTGTTTACCTATGTTGAACTAGGGAGAAATTAAATTGAATAGTTAACCCACTTATTTGTCCTCTGCAGTAGTACTTATCTTTAAATTCTTTCCTTTTTCTCATCTCAAACCTTAGGACATCCACCCAAATCTACAGAAACCAAATTCAAAAGCTAGAAGAAAAGAAGAATTTCTGTCACTACATTCAAAATAGGAGATTTTTATTTGAAATTTCTCTACAGGAAAAATCTGGGGATTTACCTTAATCTTTCTTTAGTTCTTTAGTTCCTTCAGACCTAGAACATTGTTTTATGTTTTACATTCATTTTGTATTACAAGATAATGTTCATGTCCTATGAAACTTACAAGCTGCACTTACTAAGAAGAATCAATGTTTGTCAGGAATTAGTTTATTTTTTCATTTTAAATGCATTTAGATTACAAAATCTCAAGTCATAATAACTCTCAACCCTGGGAACTACTCAAGAAAAAAAAATTATTTCCTCCAAAAATAATATTTTTTCCACAAGTCACTTTAAAAAGGTAACAGAGAAGTTCTTTCTTGGACCGTTTCATTAATGGTGTTAATTTATGCTAATAATAACATAATCTAAGTAGATTTTTACCTTTATGGCAGCATTAATATCCTGCATGGCAGCAAAATTATTACCCATCTGAAGACAAACCACAGCTCTTCCTTCATAGGCCAGGTAGCTCTTTGGATCAATTTCTATAGAAATAGTAAAATGGTTCCAAGCTTTCTGGAATTTTCCTTGGGCCTAAAATAATTTTTTGATTTCATGAAATAAGAAATAGTCTATAACATGACAAATGCTTATGATTCTACCTCACCCCAAATCTACGACATGTGGTACTACTAAAGGGCATATGGTACCAAATCTAAGATATGTTAAACAAGAAGGTAGACTGTTTACGGTGAAATTTTAATTAATTAAAATAAGTTCAATTACAGAGTCACCTCTTATACCAATTTGAGGCAACATTAAACCATGGTCACCATGTGAAACACCAATGAGTCTAACAATTGCTGAACAGTTTACACTGAGTTCCAAACACATAGGCAGGGATTATGTTTATTTGCTTGGCACTGAATTCCAGTTATATAACATATGCATGATATATAAAGTAAAACCAATATGCGTTGCATAAACAGATAAAACATATTTTGATAAATTGAACAGCATCTGGAATTTTAGGACCATTATACATATTCCAAGAAAAATGTTCATAAATCTACTAAGCTTGTGTGGTGTATACCAAACTTAGCACCAAGTGGAAAAAACAGGAAAATGGTCAGGAGAGGCACCTTAAATAGGATGTCAAAGTATGTCCTAGAGAAGACCAGTTTCCAAACACCTCATTAAGCGAGTTGATGAATTTGGCATAGTCCAGCTCTGTCATTTT